GGGCTCGAACTCACAAACTGCGAGATCATGACCTGAGCCAAAGCCAGATGCTTAACCAACTGAGCCACCCATGCGCCCCATGTTCTCTATAGTTAAGAGTCTCCTATGGGTTGCCTCCCTCTCTCTTATTTTTTTCCCTTCTCTTATGTTCATCTGTTTTGTTCTCTTAAATTCCACATATGAGTGAAATCATGATATTTGTCTTTCTGGGACTGACTTATTTGCTTAGCATAATACACTCTACCTCCATCCATGTTGTTGCACATGGCAAGATTTCATTGTTTCTGATGGCTGAGTAATATGCCATTATATATATGTGTATACACATACACACACATACACACACACACACATCACATCACATCTTTATCCATTCATCAGTCAATGGACATTGGAGCTCTTTCCATTACTTGGCCATTGTTGGTAATGCTGTTATAAACATTGGGATGTATGTCTCCTTTCAAATCAGTATTTTTGTATCCTTTAGGTAAATATATAGTAGTGCAATTGCTGGGTCATAGGGTAGTTCTATTTTTAACTTCTTGAGGAACTTCCATATTGTTTTCCAGAGTGGCTGCACCAGTTTGCATTCCCACAAACAGTGTAAGACGGTTCCCCTTTCCCCACATTGTCACCAACATGTGTTGTTTCCTGTGTTGTCCATTTTAGTCATTCTGACAGATGTGAGGTGGTATCTCATCATGGTTTTGATTTCTATTTCCCTGATGATGAGTGATGGTGAGCATCTTTTCATGTGTCTGTCAGCTGTCTGGATCTCTTCTTTGGAAAAATGTCTGTTCATATCTTCTGCCCATTTCTTAACTGGATTTTTTGCTTTATGGATGTTGAGTTTAATAAGTTCTTTATAGATTTTGGATACTAACCCTTTATCAGGTCATTTGCAAAGATCTTCTCCCATTTCATGGGCTGCCTTTTAGTTTTGTTGACTGTTTCCTTCACTGGGCAGAAGCTTTTTGGCATAATGAAGTCCCAATAGTTCATTTTTTGCTTTTGTTTCCCTTGCCTCCAGAGACATGTCTAGCAAGAAGTTGCTGTGGCCAGTGTCAAATAGGTTGCTACCCATGTTCTTCCCCAGTATTTTGATTGTTTCCTGTCTCACACTTAGGTCTTTCATCCGTTTTGAATTTATTTTTGTGTATGATGTAGAAAGTTGTCCAGGTTCATTCTTCTGCATGTTGCTAACCAGTTTTCCCAACACCATTTGTTGAAGAGAATGTCTTTTTTCCACTGAATATTCTTTTCTGCTTTGTCAAAGATTAGTTGATCATATAGTTGTGGGTCTATTTCTGGGTTTTTCTGTTCTGTTCCACTTATCTACATGTCTGTTTTTGTGCCAGTACCGTACTCTCTTGATGATTATAGCTTTGTAATAAAGCTCGAAGTCAGAGTTGTGATGTCTCCAGCTTTGCTTTTCTTTTTCAAGATTGCTTTGGCTATTTGGGGTCTTTTATGTTTCCATACAAATTTTAGAATTGTTTGATCTAGTTCTGTGGAAAATGCTGCTGGTATTTTCATAGGGATTGCATTAAATGTGTAGCTTGCTTTGGGTAGTATAGACATTTTAACGACATTTGTTCTTCCAACTCATGAGCATGGAATGTTTTTCCATTTCTTTGTGTCCTCTTCAATTTCTTTAATAAGCTTTCTATAGTTTTCCATGCACAGATCTTTTACCTCTTTGGTTAGGTTTATTCCTAGGTATCTTATGGTTTTTAGTATAATTGTAAATGGGATCAACTTCTTGATTTCTCTTTTTGTGCTGCTTCATTATTGGTGTATAGAAATGCAACAGATTTCTGTACATTGATTTTGTATCATGTGACTGCTGAATTTCTGTATCAGTTCTAGCAGTTTTTTGGTGGAGTCTTTCAGGTTTTCTACATAAGGTATCATGTCATCTGCAAATAGTGAGAGTTTGACTTTTTCTTGCCAATTTGGATGCCTTTTGTTTCTTTTTGCTCTGTGATTTCTAAGGCTAGCACTTCCAGTACTATGTTAAATAACACTGCTGAGAGTGGACATCCCTGTCTTGTTCCTGACCTTAGAGGAAAAGCTTTCAGTTTTTCTTCATTGAGGATGGTATTAGCTATGAGTCTTTCCTACATGGCCTTTATGATGTTGAGGTATTGTTCTCTCTATCACTACTTTGCCAAAGGCTTTTTATCAAGAATAGATACTATATTTTGTCAAATGCTTTTGCTGCATCTTTTGAGAGGATCATATAGTTCTTGTCTTCTTTTATTAATGTGGTATATCATGTTGATTGATTTTTGAATATTGAATCTACCCTGCAGCCCAGGAATGAATCTCACTTGATCATGATGAATAGTTCTTTTAATGTTCAGTTGGATTCAGTTTACTAGTATCTTACTGAGAATTTTTACATCTGTGCTCATTCTCCCTTTTAGTGGAGAATTCTCCCTTCATCCTGGTTTTGGAATCAAGGTAATGCTGGCCTCATAGAATGAGTTTGGAAATTTTCCTTCCATTTATATTTTTTGAAACAGTTTGATTTCACTCTTTTTTAAATGTTTGGTAGAATTCCCCTGGAAAGCCATATGGCCCTGGACTTTTGTTTGTTGGGAGATTTTTTTATTTGATTCAGTTTCTTTGCTGGTGATCAATTTGTTCAGATTTTCTATTTCTTCTTGTTGTATCTTTGGTCATTTATGTGTTTATTGGAGTTTCTCCATTTTTTTTCCATATTGCCCAGTTTGTTGGCATATAGTTTTTCATAATATTCTCTTATAATTGTGTTTCTATGGTGTTGGTTGTGAGGTCTCCTCCTTCATTCATGATTTTGTTTATTTAGGTCCTTTCTGTTTTCTTTTTGATAAGTGTGGCTAGGGGTTTATTGATTTTATTAATTCTTTGCAAGAGCCAGCTCTTAGTTTTGTTGATCTGTTCTGATGTGTTTTTCGTTTGTTTGTTTGTTTCTCTATCATTTATTTCTGTTTGAATCTTTATTATTTCCCGTCTTCTGCTGCCTTTAGGCTTTATTTGCTGTTTCTTTTCTGGCTCCTTTTAGTGTAAAGTTAGGTTGTATATTTGAGACTTTTCTTGTTTCTTGATAGGCCTGTATTGCTATATACTTCCCTCCTATGACAGCTTTTACTACACCCCAGAGATTTTGGACTGTCATGTTTTCATTTTCATTTGCTTCCATGTATTTTAAAGTTTCTTCTTTAATTTCCTGGTTAACCCATTCATTCTTTTTTTTGTTTTAATGTTTATTTACTCATTTTAGAAAGAAATAGAGGGAGAGGCAGAGAGAAAGGGAAACAGAATCCCAAGCAGGCTCCACATTGTCAGTGCAGAGCCCAATGAGGGGCTTGAAGCCACAAACTGCAAGATCATGATCCAAGCCAAAATCAAGCACTGGACACTCAACTGACTGAGCCACCCAGTCATTCTTTAGTAGAATGTTCTTTAACCTCCATGTATTATGGTCTCTTCAAATTTTTTCTTGTGGTTGACTTCAAGTTTCATAGCTTTGTGGTCTGAAAATATGCATGGTATGATCTCAGTCTTTTTGTACTAGTTGAGGCCTGATTTGTGACCCAGTATGCAATCTATTCTGGAGAATGTTGCATGTGCACTTGAAAATAATGTGTATTCTACTGCTTTAGGATGAAATGTTCCAAATATATCTGTTAAGTCCATCTGTTGTGTCACTCAAAGCCATTGTTTCCTTGTTGATTTTCTGCTTAGATGATCTGTCCCTGCTGTAAGTGGGGTATTAAAAATTCCCTACCATTATTGTACTGTTATCAATGAGTTTCTTTGTGTTTTTTTTAATTGATGTATATATTTGCATATTTCCAAGTTGGGGCATAAATATTTACAATTGTTAGATCTTCTTGTTGGGTAGGCCCCTTTATTATGATATAGTGTCCTTCTTCATTTCTTGTTACACTCTTTGGTTTAAAATCTAGTTGGTCTGATACAAGTATGGCTACTCTGGCTTTCTTTGGACATCCATTAGCATGATAACTGGTTTTTTATTCCCTCACTTTCAATCTGGAGGTGTCTTTATGTCTAAACTTAGTCTCTCGTAGGAAGCATTTAGATGGGTCTTGGTTTTTTTTGTTTTTTGTTTCTGTTTTTTTAATCCATCTGATGCCCATGTCTTTTGATTGGAGCATTTAGTCCATTTACATTCAGAGTAATTATTGATAAATAAGAATTTAGTACCATTGTGTTACCTCTAAAGTCGCTGTTGCTAGAGATTTTCTCTGTTCCTTTCTAGTCTTTGTTGCTTTTGGCTTTTCTTTCCTACTCAATGAGTCCCCTTTACTATTTATTGCAGGGCTGGTTTAGTGGTCATGAACTTCTTTAGTTTTTGTTTGTCTGAGAAACTCTTTATCTGTCCTTCTATTCTGAATGACAGCCTTGCTGGATAAAGGATTCTTGGCTGCATATTTTTCCCAGTCAGCACATTGAATATATCATGCCACTCCCTTCTGGCTTGCCAAGTTTCTGTGGAGAGATCTGTTGCTAACCTTATTTGTCTTCCCTTATAGGTTAGGGATTTATTTTCCCTTACTGCTTTCAGGATTTTTTGCTCATCTCCGTATTTTGCAAATTTTACTGTGATGTGTCCTGGTGTTGGCCTGCTTTTGTTGATTTTGATGGGAGTTCTCTGTACCTTTTGGATTTGGATGTCTGTTTCCTTCCCCAAATGAGGGAAGTTTTTGGCTATAATTCATTCGAATAAACCTTCTGCCCTCTTTCCCTTCTCTTCTTCTGAGACTAATATGATACAAATGTTATTATGCTTTATGGAGTCACTGAATTCCCTAAGTCTACATTTGTGATCCAATATTTTTCTTTCCCTATATTTTTCAGCTTCATTAGTTTCTATAACTTTGTCCTCTATATCACTTAATCTGCTTCTTCCATCTTTGTGGTCATTACATCCAGTTGGTTTTGCATCTCAGTTATAGCATTTTTTATTTCAGCCTGACTAGTTTTTAGGTCTTATATCTCTGTGGTAAGGAACTCTCCCTGGTATCTTCTATACTTTTCTCATACTTTTCTATACTTCTTGTTCTTTCTTTTGGGATGAATTCCTCCATCTTGGCATTTGTCTAGGTGTCTGTCTTCTGTGTATTAGGAAAACCTGTTATGTTTCCCACTCCTGACAGTAATGTCTGTATTATTTTTTTAAATGAATTTTAAGGTCAGATTGGTTTCCATACAACACCCGGTGCTCATCCCAATAGGTGCCCTCCTCAATGCCCATCACCCACTTTCCCCTCTCTCCCACCCCCATCAATCCTCAGTTTATTCTCAGTTTTTAAGAGTCTCTTATGATTTGGCTCAAGTAATGTCTATATTAAAAAGACATTCTATTCTGCCTAGTGCCTGATGCTTCAGAAAATGTTTCTGGTGTATGTTGTGTGTTATCTGCTGTTGTGTTTTGGCAGCTCTTTCCCTCAGATCAGTCTTCTGCAGAATTTCTCCTTGCAGAATGGGGAGTGTTTGGATCTTGTCCACTGTGTGGCAAGTTTTAATTAGTGTATTTTGGTCTGCTTGTCAAGAGGCTAGATCCTATATCCCCTAGACTGAAACTTCGCAGCACTCTGTGGTCAGTAGACCTGGTGGGTGCAAGGGGTTTGTGCTAGTCTTCTGGGGGAGGAGCCTACTGCTGCTCTGGCTTTCAGTGACACTTGTCCTAGTAGAACACAAAACAAAACAAAACAAACAAAAAACATCTGCAGAGTGCAGTGGAGCAGGGCTTAGCGTAAGAGGCTCAAGCCTCTACTGTGGGCATTTCGCCTCTCTCTGAAGTCTGTCTGTGCTGATGGGTGCAGTGAAAAATGGCGTCAGCCAGCTCTCATCCCTGGAGAGGGGAGTTCATGCCTGCTGCTCTTCAGGAAGCCCTCACAGAAGAGCAAACAATCTCTCCCCCATTTGTCCCAGGCTTCCCTCAGATCCCTGCTTCACCCTGTCTGTGTCCCAGCCATCTGCCCACATGGCAGCACAGTGCTCCAGTGTGCCTGCTGGGTTTCAAAACTCCAAATTTTAGGGACCCAGAGTGGCATGGACCCACACTAATCCTCTGGGAGAGGGTCTCACTGTACTGTGGCTGGTGCCGGTTTGTCCCAGAAGGGCAGTCACTTGAAGGCATGGGGGTTGGAGTTTATGGTAAAGCGCAGCAAAAAGTCAGTGTCTCAGTTATCTGCCCTCAGCAGGCACCTCTGCTCCTCTGCTAATGAATGGGGCAGGTCAGTGGAGCCCACCGACTCTTTTGTCCCTGGAGAGGCAATGCCATCTCTCCCAAGTGCACTCCAGGAAGGGGAACTGTCTCTCTCAGTGTGACCCAGGGCGTCCTCAGAGCACACTGTCTGTTCCCGGGCCTCTGCCTTCCTTCCCCACAGGAGCACCTCTACATCCACCAGTCTCCATCCCCGGGGTGACACAGACCTCTGAAACTTCAGACTTTGGGCTCCACTGCTTATAAAATCTTGCAGTTATCAGCCCCTCTCATTTTCCCCATCAATGGTCTTGGGGAAGTGTTTTTCTTGTGCAATGCCCTGCATGCTGTGTTCTCTCTCTCTCTCTCTCTCTCTCTCTCTCTCTCTCTCTCTCGACTCAGGGCTCCCTCCCCTCCGCAGCACCAGTGATTCTTTTCTCCCCCAGATCACATCTCCCCACCTCCTACCTTCCACAATGTGGCCTCTTTTCTCCCTATAGTTGTGCACTTTGTTCTCTCAGTCTCAGATGGATTTCCTGGGTGTTCACAATGATTTGGTATTTATCTAGCTGTGTTTGAGGGAGGAGGCAACTATAAGGTGCTCCTACTACTCTGCCATCTTAATGCCTTCCTTAAGAGCTGAACAGACCTGTCCTGAGGTCGCCTGTCAGTGAGCTAGCTCTGAACAAGGCTATTGTTCATGCTAAATTGAATCAATGTTTTAAGAAAATGGGTATTTTAAGCCTCTGCATCAGATACTCTTTTTTGAAGGAAGGGAAGAGGATGTTTCTGGATGTTGCCTCTATCAGAACTGATTTGGGGATCAGGTGCCTACTATTCCCCCTCTTGATCCAGTCCCTAACCAGCACCCCCCTTGTTTCTGTGTATGAATAAGATTCTGTGGGTAGCTGGCTCCCAATTAAGGCTTGAAAAGTCCTGACCATCTGAAAAAAATCTCAAATCAAATTTGATCATCTTGGGGCACCTGGATGGCTCAGTCAGTTAAGTGCTGGACTTTGGCTCAGGTCATGATCTCACAGTTTATGGGGTCAAGCCCCGCATCGAACTCTATGCTGACAGCTCTGAGCCTGGAGCCTACTTCAGATTCTGTGTCTTCCTCTCTCTCTGCCCCTTCTCAGCTCATTCTCTCTCTCTCTCTCTCTCTCTCTCTCTCTCTCTCTCTCTCTCTCTCAAAAATAAATAAACATTAAAAAAATTTAAAAATTTGATCATCTTGACCCTTTCTTGTGCGTATCAATTCCAGGTCACTTGACTGGTGGACAACGGACAAGTGCAATATGATTAATGGAACAGACGGAGATTCTTTTCACCCGTTAATAAACAAAGATGAAATTCTTTATGTCTTCCCATCTGAGTTTTGCAGGTAAGGACTTTATAAATAAGTTATTTGACTACAAAACCCCTCAAAATGTGAGGAATATATGCAGCTACCCTTAACAGGCATGGCCATTTGTGCTTAATCAGTGATAAATGCTGATGGCATATTGAGAGACAGTGTGGTAGTGGTTCACAGGCTCCAGAGGCTGACTGCATTGGCTGGTTTGAATACCAGCTCCAACACTTACAGCTCAGTGACCTTGGGAAAGTTATTCAACCACTCTGTGCCTCACTTTCCTCATTGGTAAAATAAGGATAGTTGTCTACCTTAGGAGTTGATATGAGGACAAATGAGTTACAGTTAATAGAGCACTTAGCCCAGGGCATGTCAGAGAGTAAACAATGTTAAGTGATGGCTCTGAGTTATTATGATATGCTCTGTCAAGCATGAAACTTGACCTGGTCTTCTTCCAGTCAACAGATAACCTCTGTATAGAAGATAAATAAATCAAACTGCTGTCCCTATTTCAGAGTTTATAGGTATTAGCTATCACCTTCCCTTAGATCATTCCTGCTCTCACTTGCCCCGTAAGCTCTCTCTCTCTCTCTCTCTCTCCGCCTGCTCCTTCATGATTATGGCTCCTATTTGGGAAGAAGGCATCCTGCTCTCCACCCTGATTCCCATTCCCCCCCATCACCATTGCCCTTTCTCCACCCTTCACCCTCAAACTACCCAAATGAATGGCTGACTCATATAGTCTCCATATCCTCCCCACTCACCCAAGCCAGGCTTTTTATGAAACTTCTCAAATTCCCAAGTGACCTAGCTGCATTTGATGCTGTTGATTCAATATTATCAAGAATTGCTGTTCTGGTGGTGTTTCATAGCTTACATAATTGCACCACCTACCCAGCCAGCCCTGCCAGAAATATTGTTGATACTATAAATCTCCTTCCTCTCCTGCATTGAATCTGCTACCAGGTGCTGGGATGCCTTCTCAGAAATAGCTCTTGTATTGGCCCCCACCTGTCTGTCCCTGCTGCCTGTGCCATGGTTCCCACCCTTCCAGCTCTCCCACAGAAATACCACAGCCCCCCTCTAGCTGGCTGCCCTTGTCCATACATATTTGTGGGAGGACTGAAGGAACAGAAAATGCATTTGAATGCAGTGAGTGAAATAAGACAAACTAGAAAGGTAGTAGGAGGCTTGTTAAAAGATTTGGCACAGAGGAAACACATTCTTATCTGGCATAACCACTTGTGAAGGGCCATTTGGTAATTATTAGTAAAGCCAAAGACATGCAAACTCCATGGTGCTTCACTGTTCTCCTACGTAAGCTCGCTGGCCTGAAGAACCCTTGTATAGACGTGTAAGGAGGCATACACAGAAAAGTCCATTGCATCACACTCTTAGTAGTGAAAAATTGGAAGCAATCTAAGTCTCTATAAAAAGAATATAAACAAATTGTGTATTCATATGATGTAATATCATGTAAGATTTAAAATGTAAGAATCAGACTATGTAATATTATAAATCTCAATAATGAGATATTATATCAATATTATAAATCTCAATGATGTTGAATGAAAAAGCAAATTACAGGAAAAGAACACGGTGTACTGTGTATAGAACACATAAAAGTAGCAGACGATGCCACATGTTGTTTATGAATGTGCACGTTTGTGAAAGGGTGAACACCGGCAAGGGAGGGATGAACCCCAAGTTCAGGACAGTGGCTACCTCTGGGGATGCAGGGGACTGGAATCAGGAGGACTGGAATCAGGAGTGTTATACAGACAGCTGCAGTTATAGCCATAATATATTTTTTATTTACCTGACTAGTATTTGTTGTAAAAGGTATTTATTATAATACTTTCACTATTTTTCCGTTTGCCTAAAATATTTTATTTAGGAAATGCTATAGGGGTGGGATGTGACTGGGAGGCAGCTCCCATGTTGTCCCAAACCCTGCGAGACATATCCCACCTCTGGTTCAAAGATGAAAAAGCCAGACCCAGAAAGCCATTCCTTTGGGCTTCAAATGAAGGACCACTTGAGACAGTGTCTGTGAGAGTGCTCTGTCTGTCACTCAGGCGCTATGCAAATACAAGGGTGGTTAGTATTATGTGCGATCACTGACGCTCAGTAAGGACTCAAGACAAAATTAAGTTGAACTCCGTTGAAATAAATGGCTGAAATAATAAACATTGAAATGAATTCCAGAATATGGACACTATTTTTATTTGAGGTAAATGGGTATCAGTATACATTCAAATCAAAGATCTGTCTAATGGGGCACTTTTCAAGTGCTTACAAAATCTACCCAGCCGAGCCCTTTGTGACCTTTTCTGCTTTTGCTTGGCCTCTGCCCTTGCTTCTGCTTCATTCACGCTGGCACATGTCCATGCTGGTCTAGACGACTCTTTTATTTCTTTCGATGTGAGGCTCCATCCTAAATGTCATCTTAATATCCTACCACACATTTTTTTTCTTGGCCTTGTTTGGCTGTTACTACAATTGCTACCTCTTAAACAAATTTCGTTATGATTCACCGTCTGCACTGAGTGGGTTGCGTTCCTTTCAAACTTTCTTTTGTAGCTTCGTTTACGGCTTTACCCTGTAAGCTTTAACCATGTTGTACCTGAGAGCGGTTGTTAACTTACTGGTTCGGGGCCAGTTACACTGACCAGAGCCCACACTGAATTTTCATTCTTACTTCCTAACAGATCAGTGTATATAACCTTCAGTGACTTTGAGAGTGTGCAGGGACTGCCTGCTTTTCGGTATAAGGTGCCTGGAGAAGTACTAGCCAATACCTCAGACAATGCCGGCTTCTGTATACCTAAAGGAAACTGCCTGGGCTCAGGAGTTTTGAATATCAGCATCTGCAAGAATGGTAAGAGCTCAGAGAAGGGACATACTTAATGAGTGTCTAGAATGAAGGGTTAGTGTTCTTCAATAAAAGAATGTTGTCAGCCCAAACAAAAGAGTGATTCTGGCTTTTCAAGAATAGTATTTCACAATATGGCTATAGAATGGTAAAAAAAAAATACTGGCTTTTCTGTAATGCTTTTTTTTTTTTTTAAATTAAGGTTTAATTGCCATATAACATTTTATTAGTTTCAGTATACAATGCAACAATTCAATATTTGTACATATTATAAAATGATCACTGCAGGGATGCCTGGGTGGCTCAGTCAGTTAAGTGTCAACTCTTGATTTCGGCTCAGGTCATGATCTCACGGTTTGTGAGTTTGAGCCCTGCGTTGGTCTCTGTACTGACAGCTCAGAGCCTGGAGCCTTCTTCGGATTCTGTATCTCCCTCTCTCTCTCTGCCCCTCCCCCACTTATGCTCTGTGTCTATCTCTCTCAAAAATCAATAAACATTAAAAAAAAATTTTAAGTCTATTTTGTCTGATGTAATTATAGCTACCCCAGCTTTCTTTTGATTTCCAGTTGCATGGAACACCTTTTTTCTTCCCTTTACTTTCAGTCTGTGTGTGTCCTTGCATCTGAAGTGAGTCTCTTTAAGCAGCATATGGATGGGTCTTACATTTTTATCCATTCAGCCACTCTGTCTTTTAATTGAAGAGTTTAGTCCATTTACATTTAAAGTAATTCTTGCTAAGTATAGACTTACTGGCATTTTGTTCATTATTTTCTGGCAGTTTTGTAGTTCCTCTGTTCCCTTCTTCTTTCTCTTGTGTAATGCTTCGTATTTCTAGAATGCCCTGTTGTGTTCTTTCTGCGCAGTAGTTTAGAAGTCTTTTTTTTTCTAATGTTTATTTTTAAGAGAGAGAGAGAGAAAGAGGGAGCATGAGCAGGGGAGAGTCAGAGAGAAAGACACAGAATCCGAAGCAGGCTCCAGGCTCCAAACTGTCAGCACAGAGCCTAACACAGGACTCAAACTCATGAACCGTGAAATCATGACCTGAGCTGAAGTCAGATGCTTAACCGACTGAGCCAGCCAGTCACCCCTAGAAGTCTTAATAGTTATAATGGCTCATGTTCACTGAGCACTTACACTAATCACTGTTCACTGGTCATTGTTCTAAGTAGTTTACATATTTACATTTAGTTAATACATGTAAAGCACGAACTGATTTTATGGTGATAACAAAGCTAAAAAAGAAAAGTGGAGAACTTGGTAATGAGAAAGTACATATCTTGTTAAAAATTTAGTGATGATTTCAAAGCAGAGTTAGTTGTATACCCTGACTGCAAATTTCCCAGTGTTTCTGAATGTCTGAGCTATTCTACTTCCTTCCATGAATGAAGCAGAATTATCAGTGGTATATTAACAAAAGCCTTTTCTTCATCTTAAGAACTGACTTTAACAATCATATGTTGCAAAATTATTCACAATATTCTTACTAGATTGGCATCCAGAGGCCTCTTTGTGTAATTGTGGAAACCAGAGCTCAGACAGAGAAGATGATTTTTATAAAATTGTTATTTCTGAGAAAATCCCTACTAGAACTTAGGGACTTCTCCTGTTGCTACTGTGATACTTCTTAGGCTATAATTCCTCTTTAAAGTTTCTTTGGAGAAATTTTGTAACCCCTCTCTCCTGAATAAAGTTGTCTTTATCTCCTAAATAAGGTAATGTGCTAATTTTTTCCCCTCTTACCTAATTTTCTTGAAAAATCTCCTTTTGGGGTAAGTCTTCAGTCAGCAGTATACCTCGCTGTCTTTGTCTGATAGAGCAGTGGCTTCAAAACCTGGCCTTGCATGAGGATTATCTGGAGGGTTCTTAAAAATCTATGTCCCAGGGCCCACATACTAGGCCCCAGAACCTGTATTTTTAACATGAGCTCCAGGTGATTCTCATAAAGATGGTGCCTAGGCAGTTTTGGGAACCACTGTGCGGGGACAGTGGAGATAGGACTAAAGGCAAATGGGAACAAGTGCCTGCTTCTGCCCTCTCCTGCTTTCTTCCTGGGGGAATGGCCCTGAAATAGCACCCTGCCCACTTAGTCCATGTGCCTCTGGCTCAAGGCACAAATGCAGACGTATTTTTTCTCATTGTTTCGTTAACATTCTGCTTCCTCAAGAAGTTGATGTTAGAGTCAACAAAGATTCTACTTGGCAACACTCAACAACTACAGTCCATTTCTCTTGCGTCTTATGTATTCCCAGATGTGGACGGAAAAGTTAAACTCTCTAGAATTATCCTCAAGGGTTTTGAATCCCCCCGGACAACGTTTTGGATTGTGGGATGAGTGAGTGTTCTGGAGTCAGTAGATCTGGGTTTGATTCAGATTCTGTTTGTTAGCATGTTAGCCAAGGTGATTAAGGAGGATTCTAGACTTCAGTCTTCTAATCTGTAATATGGGGGTGATGATAACTTCCTTGGAAAGCTGAGTGAAGGTTAGACAATGTATACAAAACACCCAAGACGGTGTCTGGTCCTTCCTGAATTCTTAATAAATCTTTGAAAACACATTTTAAAGATCATTGTAGGTCACAAAGAAGGAAATTATGGCTTTGTGAAACTGTTTAGTGAACAGTTTCTTCCTAAACAAAACACATGGATGTGACAGATGATATGTATCTTGAGCCATAGCTAGTAGATATGCAAGCAAATGTAAATTATTTGGCAATAGGTTAACTTCTCCAAATATATGTTTCCATGGCAGCAATTATTGGATCCCTCTCTCTTCTTCAATAGCATAATCTACAGTAGGTTTCCTTTAATAACTTGTTTTCCTATTTGTGCCTTTTTTAAAAAAAATCTTATTGAAATATATATGACATACTGCATTACATTAGTTTCAGGTGCACAACATAGTCATTTGACAATTCTGTACATTAATGTTCCCCACAACAAGTATAGTCACCGTCTGTCACTATACAAGGTTATTACAATATTATTGACTATAATCCCTATGCTGTACTATTGGTCTCTGTGACTTATTTATTTTATAACTGGAAGTTTGTCCTTCTTAATCCCCTTCACCTATTTCACCCAACTCTCCCAGCCACCTACCCTCTGGCAACCACCAAATTGTTCTCTATTTATGAGTCTGTTTGTGGTTTTTTTTTTTGTTTGTTCATTTGTTTTGATTTTTAGATACTGCAAATCAGTTGAAGTATATGGTATTTGTCTTTCTCTGTCTGACTTATTTCACTTAGCATAATATGCTCTAGGTCCATCCATGTTGTCACAAATGGCAAGATGTCATTCTTTTTATGCCTTAGTAATATTCCATTATATACAGATAACACGTCTTCTTTACCTATTGCTCTACTGATGGATGCTTAGGTTGCTTCCATACTTTGGCTGTTGTAAGTGATGCTTCAGTGATCATAGGATTGCATTTATTTTTTAACATTAGTACTTTCATTTTCTTTGGGTAAATGAAACAGGTGTGAAGTGATATCTCCTTGGGGTTTTGGTTTGCATTTCTCGGATGATTAGTGATGTTGAGCATCTTTTCATGTGTCTGTTGGCTATCTAGATGTCTTCTTTGGAGAGATGTCTATTCAGGTCCTCTGCCCATATTTTCAACAGGTTATTTGGTTTTTTGGTGTTGATTTGTATGCGTTCTTTATGTATTTTGGATACTAACCGGATATATTCTTTGCAAATACCTTGTCAGTAGGTTTCCTTTTTGTTTTGTTGATGGTTTTCTTTGCTGTGCAAAAGGATTTTGTTTTGGTGTAGTCCCCATAGTTTATTTTTGCTTTTGTTTCCCTTGCCAGAGGAGACACATCTATAAATATGCTGTTAAGGCCTATGTCCAAGACATTACTGCCTATGTTTTCTTCTAGTTTTATGGTTTCAGGTCTCATAGTTAGCTCTTTAATCTGTTTTGAGTTTATTTTGGTGTATGGTGTAAGAAAGTGGTCCGGTTTCATTTTTTTACACGTAGCTGTCCAGTTTCCTCAACACGATTTATTAAAGAGATTGCCTTTTCCCCATTGTCTGTTCTTGCCTCCTTTGTCATAGATTAATTGACCATGTAAATGTGGGTTTGTTTCTGGCCTATTCTGTTCTGTTGATCTATGTGTCTGTTTCTGTGCCAGTTCCATACTGTTTTGGTTAATATAGCTTTGTAGTATATCTTGAAATCTGGGGCTGTGATACCTCCAGCTTTGTTTTTCTTTCTCAAGATTGCTAGGGCTACTCAGGGTCTTTTGTAGATTCATACCCATTTTAGGATTATTTGTTCTAGTGCTGTGAAAAATACCATTGGTATTTTGATAGGAGTTGCATTGATTCTATAGATTGCTTTGGGCATTATGGACATTCTCTATTTGATTCTTAAAATGAATAGGAAAAAATAAATAAAAGAAAAAAAATGGAGTCTTCATGTGGTCAGACCTTGATCTAGTCAGAGGCTGGGCAGATAGCATGACCAGGCAAAGTCTTAAAAGTCTGTATCAACATATGCAGGAGAAGAAAGCCTGTCTTAGGTTAACCAAGAAAAACAGAAAAGCAAGCAATAAGTGCTTTCAGATGAGATTTCCTCATTCATTTAGAATTCTGCCTTCATCACCTGACAGCTGGATGTCCCTGGGTCAGTTTTGTAACTTCTCTGAACCTCACCGTCCTCAAATGCAAAATGAAGATAATAGTTTTAACTTAATAGGGCTACTGCAAATGTTAATTAAAAGAGTGTGTATGAAGCCTTTGTATTTAATAGGTTCAGTAAATACTGAAGAATAAATAATTTAGCCATGACTTCAATATATACTGTGGGATAAAATAATGTTAGGGTAAATGAGATGTTAGGAAATGAAGTATAAATCCCAAACTAGGAGGCGTTGAATGGAATTTTAGCCTGCCCCTCTCCCCCACCCACATTTACTTATGTATAGAATTTCACCCTCCTTAGGAACCAGGTTTGTAGTCAGGAACTTTATACCCATCTTGGACTTTTAAGAACCATGTCATTCGTCTCTGTTTTCCTTAAAATGCAGGTGCACCTATTATTTTATCTTTCCCACACTTCTACCAAGCAGATGAGAGGTTTGTTTCTGCCATAGACGGCATGCATCCCAATAAGGACTATCATGAGACATTTGTGGACATTAATCCTGTGAGTACCCACGTCTTCCTGGTAAAAAGCATGCATTTTGTTCTCTCTACACAGTATTTACCAGTTTAGTCCAGAGCACTGTGAATATTCTGTCTTCCTTTCATATACATATTCAAATGGAGAAAACTCAGCTCAGTGCTTGAGATGCATAGTCTCATGGCCTTACAGGCTGAACTCAGTGGCTCTAATATGCAGAAATATTTGCAAACCTGCTTTAACAAAAACGCAACTGTAAAAATCCCATCACGGGAACAACTGAGATTGGACCCAAGTAGCCTCATCAATGTTCTGTTGACAGCCTTGGGCCTGAATATACATACATTCTCCTACTACTGAACAGATCAGCAAAGCTGAAGACATTCTTCTGCTTACTGCCAAGGAGTGTTTTGGTTGAAATTTAAATATATGTATTAGCTTCACTGACTTTCGGCAGGCCTCTTTCTACAGGCACTTTTGAGAGTTTATTGCATGATATTATTAATTTAAAAGGCATTAGATATACATATGCTTTAATCCTGTTTTCAAAGAGGAGAAAAACTAAAACCATGAGAAAGCCTCTCACGGTAGGAACTGAATGAAAGGCCAGATACCTTCCTTGAGATTTTGAACACATGGAACAGTAAAGAAAAAGCAAGAATAGTCGTTGACATGACAGTGTGTGGGCATTTCACTCTTCTGTGTGAGAAATCAGTGGTCTTATCTTTTTGTGACTAAGATCAGGTATTTCCCCCCCCCCCCCTTTTCTCTCTTAACCTTCAGTCGGTTCCTTCTCCCCAGCTGCACTGTGCTTGTCCCCAAGGGCTGGACGCAGTCCCGTAACCTCAATGCAGAGGCAAAACTGCTGTGGGGGGACAGCTGCTGGCGCCGCTTTCCCAGCTTTGATGGGGGCTGTCCTGACCACACCAGGGACCACTCTCTGGCTCACACCTTCCTCCTGCCAGGGTCACCTAGGGTTTTGCTATCCAAAGTGGCAGCATCCTGGGTGCTTGCTAGAAAGACCAATCTCAGGCCTCACTCTAGACCTACTGAATCAGAATCTGCATGTTCACAAGGTCCCCAAGAACTCACATGCAGATTGAACTTTCAGAAACATTGGTCTACCAGGCACCTAACCCTGTCCGCAGCTCTCATTCTGTTCCGGGGTCTGTTTTCCCTTGTCTCAAACATGGCAGCGGTCCCCCTGGTTATCAGCACCACACAGAAATGGTGCTCTACTGAGAAAAACTATGTGTTTTTAATAAGTCCTAATGTTTTCTTTCCATGTCTCTGATTTGCAGTTGACTGGAATTATTCTAAGAGCTGCCAAGAGGATCCAAATCAATGTTTATGTGAGAAAGTTTGACGACTTTGTGTAAGTTTCACTTCTTTCTGCAGAGGCAAAGGATAGTTGTGCTGTACTGACTTTCAGATGGGGTTGATCCAGGAGACAGCCCACTTTCTAAGTCTGCTCACTCCTGCCCTTCAGGGATGAGGCATAATCAGCATTTGTGGGGGGAGGGGGGTTGAGAGAGAGTGTCAGCGGGGGAGGGGCAGAGAGAGGGGGCCAGAGGGTCTGAAGCAGGCTCTGTGCTGACAGCAGCGAGCTTGAGCTCAGTGTGGAGCTCGAACTCACAGACCCCGTGAAATCATGACCTGAGCTGAAGTCGGATGCTCAACCGACTGAGCCATCCAGGCGCCCCTATAATGTGCATTACGTTATTATTAACCATAGTTGCCATGCTGTACATTAGATCCCTGTGACTTACTTATTGTGTAACTGGAAGTTTGTACCTTTTGACTCCATCCATTTTGCCAACCCCCCAACTCCCAACTCTGGCAACCACCAGTCTGTTCTCTATGCGTGTAAGCTTGGTTTTTTGTTTATTTGTTTTAGATTCCACACAAAAGGGAGAATAAATAGTATTTGACTTTCTCTGATTCGTTTCACTTAGTGTAGTGCCCTGAGGGTCCATTCATGTTGTCACAAATGGCAAGATTGCATCCTTTTCTATGGCTGAATAGTATTCCAGTGTGAACATATACCATGTTTTCTTTATTTAATCATCCATCGATGGACACTTTGGTTGCTTCCTTATCTTTGCTACTGGAAAAAAATACTACAGTGAATATAGGGGTGCATATGTCTTTTCGAGTTAGTGATTCATTTTCTTTGGCTAAATACCCAGAAGTGGAATTGCTGGATCGTATTGTAATTCTGTTTTTAATTTTTTGAGGAATCTCTCTACTGTTTGCCCTAGCAGCTGCACCAGTTTACATTCTATCAGCAGGGCACATGGATTCCTTTTCATCTGCATCCCCACCAACATTACTACCCTTTGCCTTTTGATAATAGCCATTGGAACAGGTATGAGGTGATATCTCACTGTGGTTTTGATTTGTCACCTTTTGTCTTTGTAGTGAAACGGGAAGCATTAGAACCATGGTTTTCCCAGTGATGTATATCAACGAGGTAAGTCCTGGGAGGGAGCCGTGGGTATGATTTACTTGTGGAAGCTTGGAAAACTTCCATTCAGATGTCGACTCTTATAGCTATGTAATTTGAGATGTAAGAAAGGGGGAAAGGTGATTTTTAAGAACCTGTTTGTCCTCAGAAAATTTCTCTTTATATGTTCACATGAAGTTTGAGATTTAAAAATGACAGAACGAAAATTTCCCTTCTCAAGAATATTATCGGGCAAAACTCTCTTCTGGGAAGCTGGTTATGTAAGAAACAAAAGGCAAAGGTAAATGAAGCAATGTCAGACACTGCTGAAGCAGAAAAAATAGCCAACACTCAGATTTCCAGTTAAACCTTTCTTTGCATCTTCTCCATCTTTGAACCCCTGCCAGTTTGTAAAACGTGATCAGTTTACCATTCATTAATAAAGGAGGAGGAAAAGAGAGTAAAATTAAAATGATTGGCAACATTACATGAAGGTTTTGTGTAAGGTGATTAAAGAAATGATTGAATAAAACATGATACATTCTCATTCATTTCAGTGATATATGGTGGCCTTATATTTTATAACATAGAAGTTTTTTTTGTTTTACTTTCTGGTGACCAAACATATCATGAGTTATAGGACACAGATCCTATCTTAAATTTATTATTATTTTTTTTTAGTGTCTATTTTTGAGACAGAGAGAGACAGAGCGTAAGTGGGGGAGGGGCAGAGAGAGAGGGAGACACAGAATCGGAAGCAGGCTCCAGGCTCTGAGCTGTCAGCATAGAGCCTGACGCGGGGCTTGAACTCATGAACCTCGAGATTATGACCTGAGTGGAAGTCAGCTGCTTAACCGACTGAGCCACCCAGGTGCCCCAACACAGATCCCGTCTTAGTTCAAACAAAGAGAGTTTCCCTGAAGAAATATTTCTTTCACACTGTACCCACAGAATTTTTATCAGTAAACATTAAGTATAAATTGAAGTTTTGTAAATAAAAACATATTCGGAAAACTCAGAAAACACCTATTTAAGATACCTGTGATAAATTCTTTTCTGAATCACATACATTTATTGCAGTAAATCTCCTCAGTTTCCTTCTCTCTTCCACCCAGGTTTGAGAGGTTACATGCAGGGGTTTTCTCTCTCCAGTAAATTCTTGGTTGGCTTACGTCTGTTGTGAACAGCAGCATCTTTAAGTTTTTATTATTTTTCTCTGTTCCCTAAAAAATCTTGTTCTGTATAGGAAATTTGGTAACAGAGATTGGCAAGAAAAAGGAAAATTAAAGAAACTTTCACAAAACCTGAGTCAGAATGACACTGTTTTTGCTTTATTGTACTCAACAGTGTATTGCAAAATTGTCTCTGATAAGAACTTTGTAAAAAATAATTTAATGTTTTCTACTTTGTAAAACTAACATGTGCTCTTTACAGAGCTCTTGGAAAACTAAAAATGTATATTTTAAAAGTGAATCACCATACAAATATTGAATCATTCTGTTGTACACCCAAAACTAATATATTGTTATATGTCAATTTTACTTCAGTTTAAAATTTTTTTAAATATTTACAACTGAATCACTGATAAACTGTCCCTCAGAGACAAGTACAGTTTACATCTGCTTATATTGCCTCTTAGTATTTTTCTAGTTTTGATATTAAATACTTGAGACCATACTGCAGATACAGTTTTATAACCTATTTTTTTTTATTTGGCATTACTTTGATAGCTACATTTATAAATTTTTGAAGGGTTTGTGATTACAATTCTAAGACAAGGCTTTTATTGTTTCACAGGAAAAATTTAGGCAATATTTACCAACTTATACAATCTATCTGAAATTGCTCCAGGGTCATCACTCTTACTGTTTGTGAAGAGGTCTATCGAGACCTCTGGTCTTGATTACTAGAGATTTAACCAAGACACTAATTATACTTTCCACATACCATTGTTGGAATGTTTCATTCATTCAATCAACCGACATGAAAGCAGGGCTTTTTGTTTTTAATTTATTTTCAATATTTTATTATTTATTTTTGAGAGAGAGAGACAGAGCATGAGCAGGGGAGAGGCAGAGAGGGAGACCCAGAATCTGAAGCATCTCCAGACTCCAGGCTGTCAGCACGGTGCCCGATGCAGGGCTCAAACTCACGAACCCCAAGATCATGAACTGAGCTGAAGTCGGATGCTTAACTGACTGAACTACCCAGGCACCCCAATGGGCTTTTTTTTTTTTTTTTTAAATTTTTTTTTTAACATTTATTTATTTTTGGGACAGAGAGAGACAGAGCATGAACGGGGGAGGGGCAGAGAGAGAGGGAGACACAGAATCGGAAACAGGCTCCAGGCTCCGAGCCATCAGCCCAGAGCCTGACGCGGGGCTCGAACTCACGGACCGCGAGATCGTGACCTGGCTGAAGTCGGACGCTTAACCGACTGCGCCACCCAGGCGCCCTTCCAATGGGCTTTTTGAAAATAAGGAAGGACCCTGTACTGCCAGCTTATGTTCATAGTTGTGGCATATTTGAAATCCCCCCGCCCCGCCCCCAACTCAACCTTTGCTTTGCTTAGCTCCTTTGTTAAAGACCATATTGAATCCAGGGAATTATGGAGTAAAACTTTGTACTTTTGATGCCTCCTAGAAAGAACTTGACTTTATCCCAGAAAAAGAAAACATTATACTTTGAAGTGACATTGGAGCCTACTCTCCCACCTTCTTTTTCCAGAGAAGGAGAATCTGACTCTGATGGGTCTTGGCCAGTTATTGGAAGTACCAACTCTAGAAGCCCATCCTCTGCCTCAGTTCAGTGCAGTTTCAGCCTAAATTACGCCCAAAGTCCCATATGTTGCCATAATTTTTATGAAATTAAGCTCTCCAGACACCCCACCCATGACAATTTAAGGAGATAATATCTTTGTTCTGCATCCATCAAGTGTTATTCTAGAATATTTTCTTGGTTATCAACACCCTCTGGAACTCTGGTGAGCCTCAAGACATCCCTGAACACTTTCTATCGAGACCTCTGGTCTTGATTACTAGAGATTTAACCAAGACACTAATTGTACTTTCCACATACCATTGTTGGAATGTTTCATTCTTTCAATCAACTGACATTAATTCAGTACCCACTACGTGCAGAGTGCTTTCCTAATATTGAGGTGACCAAGATGTAAACCTTGCCTTTGGGAACCTCACAGTCACAAGGAGACCAAACAGACGGTTATAAGGCAGAGTGCGCAGCGATGGGGGATTTTAGGAAGTGATATGGAAGTGCAGTAAAAGGACCTTTAACTAGGCCTGAGGTAGCCAGAGAAAACTTCTGGATGGAAGTGATGCTGAGTTGGATTTTAAAGGACGAGTTAGAGTTGTCTGATACAAAAGATGGTATTATCTCATTATTTCTGAATACTTTTTTCCCTACTATTTCCAACCTAGTTTGAAAGTAAGACATGTCTTCAGGAAAAAAAAAAAAAAAAGGAAGATGTAATGAATAAATGCCCCCTCTGGTTATCTAATTTATAAACGGATTTTCAGTATTTCTGGTTAGCGACAGAGAAACTTCCCCAAATCGTGTTTAATGATTTAGAAGGAAGATACAGCAAAAACTTTACACCCTGGATATTTAGTAATCAAAGGGATACTATTTTCTTGCCTTCCAGAGTGTTCTCATTGATAAAGAGACTGCGAGTCGACTGAAGTCTGTGATAAACACTACTCTGATCATCACCAACATACCCTACATTATCATGGCGCTGGGTGTTTTGTTTGGTTTGATCTTCACCTGGCTTGCATGCAGAGGACAGGGATCCATGGATGAGGTGAGCAGTGGTTGGAGGAACTTCTCTATTACTGGGTAACCTTACCGGAGGAAGCTAACGGTGCTTCACTGAGGGGCTGTCAACTGGCTGGCTCATTAGGGTGGATTCTGAGGTTTTATGCTGGGCACAGTGATTTCATGGTTATATTACTACTAAACCAAATGAGAGGCAAGGGCACTGTGTCAGAGGAGGAGGAGTAATGGAATGGTACTGTCCAGTATTTGGGGCTCTCTTGGCGGGCATGAAATCACTGTGAGTAAGCTTAATGTTTCTGAAAATAACCTGAAAGGAGAGGAGTATTTAGCAGCTAAACATCTGGGCTTTGGTGTGTCAGACTGCCTATATTCAAATCCCAGTTCTGCCACTTCATAGCTGTGTGACCCTAGAAACTGCGCCTCAGTTCTGCATCTGTAAAGTGAGATAAGAGAGCCTCCCTTAGTGGTTTTTCATGAGGATTAGAGGAGACAGTAGACAGAAAGCATTTGGCCCAGTGTTAGCATTTACAGTAAGAACTCAATAAACATTAATTATGTGATGCAACAATCCCAAGATTGTAGAGCAAGGCAACCAGAGACCTGCTTGGAAAGAATCCGTAATATATCAGAAGATACCTGTCACTGAGTCATCACTGCATAAGAAACGATTGGCCCAGGGGAGTAGTAACTTTCCTGGAGAGAAGGGAACATCATCAAATGGATGGGATAGCAGAGTTACGCTGGCCTCCCTAAGTGACCAGCAGGCCAACCCAGCTCAGCCTTCAGTGAGTCTTTTCTGTGAGAGCCTTTCTTAAATTCTCAGCAGCTTCCGTTTTTGCAACAAAGGCTTTCTCCCCCCGCTCCTAGCTGCTTCAAATACATGTCTGAAGCAAACGTGAAGTAGGAAATGAAATAGGTTGAAACCATCTGAGTCATATTACCTCAGATTTCCCTAGGTTCTACATTCTTCCATTATTTCTCTTAACCTGTGCCCATCAGGTTAGCAGGAATTAGGTGTGAGGCATTTATTCTGTCATTTCTAGCTATGGATCTCACTTCCAGTCTGACTTTATACAGTCACTGAGATTTTCATAAGCACAGGTGAAAGCCTGTGTAAATGTTATTACTGCTCCTACAATGAACCATTTTCGTGTATTCAGCAAGCGGGCAATGACTGAGCACCCGTCACTCTGAGACGTTGTTCTCTGGTAGGTTTCAAATCAGGAAGGAGCAAATTCAATGTAGTCTGATGAGAGTTATAGTCCGGGTCAATACAGGGAAGGGTACTGCTCTGGTATCGGGGGTGCAGGTGGTCAGAGCAGGCTTCTTCAAGGTCAGGGCTGAATGGGATAGAAGAGGCAAGCCAAGAGAGAAGGAAGCAGAGTGTGACGACTGCCCTCCTGTCAGTCTCTCCTCCGTCCATCTTCCTCCACCACCCTGTCCCCCAACTTTTCACTTCCTGGGAGAAGTTTCTGATGTGAATACCTGACTTCGCTGTCCCCTCTCTTCTGGATCTCAGGGAACCGCAGATGAAAGAGCACCCCTCATACGAACCTAACTGTGGCCCGAGTTTGGGGAAGGAACCGTGTGAGCTGTCCTAACCTGGACCACAACGTGAGGAAACTATCCACGTCTTCATGGGCATGGTGCCTGCTGCAGAGAGGAGGGAGGAGACCCCGTGCTGGCAAGCGACGAGAGCATTCCGGCAGGAGGTTAAAGAACAGACTGACATGGTTGGCCATTAGGCTTTATAAAATTGTTTTGTTTTTCATGTGTCTAGCAAGTATTTAATAAACTCTTGTATAGTAATTTTTGTTGTTGTTGGGTGCTGGTAGCTCCAGAATTCTGTGACCACCGTTGTGGTTAAAATATGTCTGCATCACTTGTTAACGTTCCTTGGTCTAACCTTAGTAAGTATGCTTCATTTACCAAACTTTGTGCTCAAAATATATAAATACTATTTTACGTTGTATTCCTCCATTCATTTCACCCCCAAAACAGAAGTAAATACGAGTTCGGAACCCAGGGTAAAATAGCCTCATTCAGTACATCACTAAAATGCATCTAGTTTCCTCTTTTTAAAATGTTACATAATTATATTTCATATGCTAACCTTCAGTTCATAATTCCTCCAAGAAAGTAATTCAGTCTTTTGACTTTCAAACTGTCTGGGAACCAAGCAGGGAAGGGGTTGGGTGGGGTGAGGTAGGCAGTGGGGCAATAACCCTCAAGTTGATTGATAGTGATAAGCACCTGCGGATTTTTTACTTGTACTTTTGTGAATGGAGAGAATGCACAAATAATGTTGGTGAGGACAAGTACAGATATTTCATATGGAGTAGAAGGAAATGCTAGTTATGACATTTGTGGGTAGTTTGTTGTTTTTTTTAGTCAGAATGATCTTGATGTGGAAAGGTGCTTCTGGGAGGTATCATCAGTAACTGATTTTTTCCTCCAGTCATCCTTGCCAAATATGATACTGTATTAATTACAATACTATTGAGTAACTTTGCAAAATTATTTATGAATATGGGAAACCCATTCATCCACAGCCTGAGTTACACATACATTTTGGGAAGTCTGACTGCACTAACAAAACGTTTCTTCTGGGGAAGTTTTCTTGGGAACTTTGAAATTGTTTTTGTAAGTTGTTTTTCTTTCCTCACATTTGGTCCCTTCCAGTGTTCTGTGGGTCACTGTCACTCACTGAATAGAGAAAAATGTGCCCTACACTTCCTGTGACAATCATTTTGCTGACAGAATGAATGATGGTGTTTTAAAATATTGTACAGAAAATGCTTTAAAGAAAGGTCCCTTGGGATCCAGAAGCAGCGTCTTCTCAGAAGACCTTTTGACTTTCAATGCAACCTAAGTCAGTCAGAGGATAGGAACCGTCGTATGTCACAAAATCCAAGCCCGTTTAAGAGCATTTTCTTTGAGTAGTGAAGTTCAGTATTCATTTTTGATTAAGAAACCTACATAGTTATCCAGCAAAATGCACATAGAATTTCTTAACAACTGAATCATCTTACAGGATTTTCTGTATAAAACTGGATTTCAATGTAAGCAAATGAAGAAAAAAGCCATGGGTTTCACAAATACAGCTTCTGATCCCTGTGTGGAGGTAATAAATCCCATTACTTGCCCCAATTTCCTTCTGTCTACACTAAAGTAACATGTGACATATTCCCTTCTTGAAGGGGCAGTTCATTAAACCTTCAGCTTCTCTATAAATTAAGAAATATTTTGTAAATATTCTAAATCACCAAAATGTAAAAAACTAAATTGAAAATATTGTCAGTAATACCAAATACCTAGATTTTTTTAATTTATCAATATTTAACTATGTAATTGGCACACCTTATTCTTTTATGCACCTACTTATCCACATATAAGCCAGTGTGTATTTAATGGTTCATCTTGTTATCAGGATATAGTCACTTGTGAGGAGGAAATTTTTCAACACTAGGAATGGTAACAGTTGATATACACTTTAAACTAAATCCCACACATGTGGGGAGATCAAACACATATTACTTCCATACGATTCTAATAGTTATTTGGCTTAAAATCACATTTGATATTATCTTTCTGAAAAATCTGTGACAAACCCAGAAACTGCAGTCAAGATTAGATTGATTAAGAACTTATGTGCCTATTTGGTCTTAGGTTGAAAATAACAAACTATTACTCATGCTTATTCTCTTGGAGCCATTATCCTGGAAAGGCCTCCAAAGTCTTTGTGATTGTCATAATCCCAGAATGTGTGTGTCCTGTACTATGATACTCACTAGGGAGAAACCAGAGAGAGGTTACCTCACTTCTCTTAGGGAAAATTGGGAATTGAACACAGGACAAGAAATGGGCTTTGCCACTTTTAGCTCAAGGCTTTTCCTACTGGACTTTATTTCCTCATGTTCTAGAACGATCACTGGTCAAGTGGAGCAAGTACTATATGACTAACCCCTATTGGGGTTTTTACCTAAGGGAGGCTAGTTGTTGTTTTGTTTTGTTTTGTTTTGTTTTGTTTTTTAATTTAAATTGCTTGAGATAGGAGTTCTACAAAAGGTGACCTTCACACTTGGCCCTCTGGGCATTATTACTAGAATTAATTGCTTGTGGCTATTAAACAGAATACTGACCAGAATGCTCTTCATGTAGCTTAAATAGGTGGTTCATTTCATGTGATTCTTGACATGTTTATTTCTACCCTTAATGCAATGAAGTATTTCACTAATAAAACTGTTTATATGAAATTGCACTGGAAATTGTTATGTCATCAGATGACCAGTTGTCTCTGGAGTTTCATTTGTTGTTTTTTTTTGTTGTTGTTGTTGTTTTTAATTTTAGAGATCGCGGCAGGGAGAGGGTCAGAGGGAGAGAGAGAATCCCAAGCAGGCTCCACCCCTAGCGTGGAGCCTGATTCAGGGCTCCATCCCATGACCTTGGGATTGTGACCTGAGTCAGAATCAAGAGTCAGACACTCAGTTGACTGAGCCGCTCATGTGCCCCTGGAGTTTCATTTGAAAGATGCTTTTTTCCCTCTTGACAAATGCAGGCCTGAGTCTTACCTCTTGGGCCACTTATGATGTCCATTCCGTTGTGGTGGACAGTTCTAGGCAGCCTGACAAGTCCCACTTGAAGGGAGTCCCACAATGTGCTCCTCTGCCCCAGGGCTTTCTCCACAGTCCTGGAAGCCCCTCAGGAGCACTGGGGGGTTAATAGGCCCAGGTATTGATACTCAACTAAAGGTAGGAGTCAGCTGATAAATGCTCCAGTCCTCAGAGGGACAGTTCTCAGACTCATTCTAGGTAGTTCCTCAACTAGGATTGCCCACAGTAGGAACTCCTTCTCATTATTGTTTCTTCCTTCCCTGTGTCACTCCTCCCATTCCCTCACTGCTGCTTTTTCCCAAGTAACCCACCTGTGCTAACATTCTTCTTATTCAGGCCCGCTTCCAGGTAAACACAAACTAAAGGCATACAAGTCCACCCAGAAGGGCCCAGAAGGGTCAGAGAGCTATGGGAGGGGTCCTGGACCTTTGTTTCTATAGACATTTGTCCTAAAATGATTAGCCCCCAAATTTAGACTACCTTTAAAACCTTTCCCATCCCAGTAATATTGCGTCTTATTTCTGAAATAGAGCAAATCCATTTCAGCCATCACATATCTAGCTCAGTGTTACAAATGTCATTATGTATTGAGGACACTTGATCACTAGCATATATGCTTTCAAGGAATCCCAAATCTAAAACAGTATGGAGTTTCCTCAAAAAATTAAAAATAGAACTACCCTACCACCCAGCAATTGCACTACTAGGTATTTATCAAAAGGATACAGGAGTGCTGATTTTAAGGGGCAAATGCACCCCAATGTTTATAGCAGCGCTATCAACAATAGCCAAATTATGGAAAGATCCCAAATGTCCGTCAACTGATGAATGGATAAAGAAGATGTGGTATATATATGCAATGGAGTGTTACTTGGCAATCAAAAAGAATGAAATCTTGCCATTTGCAACAACATGGATGGGATTAGAGTGTGTTATGTTAAGCAAAATAAGTCAGAGAAAGATAAATATATGATTTCACTCATATGTGGAATTTAAGAAACAATGAACATAAGGAAAGGGAAGCAAAAATAAGATAAAAACAGAGATGGAGACAAACCATGTCTCTCAAATACAGAGAACAAACTGAGGGTTGCTCGAGGGGAGATGGGTGGAGGGATGGGCTAAATGGGTGATGGGCATTAAGGAGGACACTTGTTCGGATGAGCACTGGGTGTTATATGTAAGTGATGAATCACTAAATTCTATTCCTGAAAACATTATTACACTACATGTTAATTAACTTGGATTTAAGTTTTAAAAAAAAAAAGGAATCCCAAATCTGATTTTTGCTGGCTTATGTCATAAGGGGAGTTCTGTGTATCTATTTCTGCTTGCTCAAAGGTATATAGAGACATCTGGAACTCTGCAACATACCAAGCCTAATTATTTCAAATCAAGGAGTGAGAGAGATTCAGAAAATATATTTAAAAGAATACTAATAAGGGTGACATGTGTTACCAGGTATTAAAACATATACACACCCATGAACAATAATAACGTGTGATAGAGAACACAAGAAACATGGATACACATTTATCACAAGATGAAGGCCCCATTTCCAATAATAACTATAGTCTTTCATTTATTCAACTAATATATTTATTTTTTAACCTTTATGGAGGTATAATTTTCATGCCATAAAATTTTAAATGTAAAACACAATGATTTTTAGTAAATTTACTGAGTCATGTAGTTTTAGAACATGACTACCTCACTAAAATCCCTCTGTTCCCACCTGCAGCCCTAAGCAACTGCTAACCTACATTCTGTCTCTATAGATCTGCCTTTTCTGGGCTTCTCATAGAAGTTAAAGTGGGGTGCCTGGGTGGCTCAATCAGTTAAATTTCTGACTCTAATCAAGAGTCAGCTCGAGTCATGATGACTGAGCCCCAACTTGAGCTCTGTGCTGGGATTTTGTGGAGCCTGCTTGGGATTTTCTCTCTCCCTCTCTCTCTACCCCTCCCCCACTCACGCACGTGTGCACTCTCTCTCAAAATAAATAACTATTTGGAAAAAAAAAA